ATCTCCCAATTTTGTAGCAACAAATGCGATTGAGCTGCTTGGCTGTAATCTGTAGTGTAAGCACTGACTGTGATTAACAGAGGCATTGTCTTTGTGCTAAACAAGCCATAATGGGCTGTAATTGGCATCTAGCTTGTTCACAGTGCTAATGCATTTATTTGGGAGGTCTCAGTTCCTTCACTGAAACGCATCAGTAATTTTTATTTACTGAACTTGGCAGAAAACAAATCTGTGACGGGCCCTACTCTACATTAGGCCCATCATAGTATTTCTTTCCTTCTTTTTGTTAAATCTACTGTGTATAAAGCCAGCACGTTACACAGAACGTAGAGCCAAAAAAAGGGTTTATTTATGTGCACATAAATCTGAACCTGTCAGTGGTCCACTGAGAGGAACCCTTCCACCTGTGCACTGTAAGAACAGCACGTAAAGGACCTGCTGTTACAGTGAGTATCAATAACTTCTGTTATGTTATGATACCAGGGGGCAGACTCCTGCTGAATCAGACTTCCAGATCCTAGAGATCGCCCGTAAACTGGAAATGTACGGCGTCCGCTTCCACCCAGCAGCTGATCGCGAAGGCACAAAGATCAACCTCTCTGTCGCTCACATGGGCCTGCAGGTTTTTCAGGTGACTGCTGCTCTAAATCCAAATGTCTTCCTTGTGCATATATCCTAACAGTGTTACTGATGATTGTGTCTGTCTTTTATTCCACCTGTATTTCTCTCTCAGGGCCACACAAAAATAAATACCTTCAACTGGTCCAAGATTCGCAAACTGAGCTTCAAAAGAAAACGTTTCCTGATCAAGCTTCACCCAGAAGTCCATGTAAGTGTTATCAGTGTCCTTCAATCTTAGATTTCATATACACTGAGACCAGATGGCTGTATGCATTCTGCTTCTTATTAATCTTTGTTTTAGGGCCCCCATCAGGACACTCTTGAATTTTTGATGGGCAGTCGAGACCAGTGCAAAGTCTTCTGGAAGATCTGCGTGGAGTACCACTCATTCTTCCGACTGTTTGACCACCCACAGCCCAAATCCAAAGCTGTCCTTTTCACTAGAGGCTCCTCTTTCAGATACAGGTATTGACTAAAGACATAAAAATAATGCCATGTGTCACTGTTACTGGTTTAGTACATTGAAGTGGTTTAATTAAAACTCTTTCTGCCAGTGGAAGGACCCAGAAGCAGCTTGTGGAATATGTCAGGGAAAATGGAGCAAAGCGGACCCCTTACCAGAGGTATGTGTGTTTGAGTTTAGACACACAATTTAACACAAAGAGAAGCAGTTTCCTTCTAATTCTTCTTAAGCATCCACTGGAAGAAAAATCTGCATAAAATCATAACGGTAATTGTTACAAGATGACATGGAGATCTTATTTTCTTTCAGAAGGAACAGTAAAGTAAGAATGTCGGCTCGATCCCTCGCAACCGATGTGCCAAAACAGGTAAATACTGCAACATGTGGTGCTAATACAGCCATAGATTTGTATTTAATGGATAAGCTAACGCAGATCTTTTTCTCCCTTTATCTCTTTCTGCTGTCCTCTCTGGTTTTGTGTTTTTTTTTTTTGGTGTGTCTCTTCTGTGTTGCTTTGTTTTTTGTTTTTTTTTGTTTTTTTTTTTTCAGAGCTTTTCATTCAATGACAGTCTCAGGTCCCCGGGCTTGTCTTCCTCCGCAGCCGTGACTTTCCAGTCAATGCACATCCCTAGCGTTTTCCCGCTAACAGAACGCCAACCTCAGCCCCAGCCTTTGACCGCACTGAGTCAGTCTCCAGCACCTTCTCAGCAGCACCAGCTTCAGTCCCCTCTGCAAGCCACCAGACCCCCCAGCCCTCCGAAGGAAGAGCTCATCAAGCCTACTTCCCCGTCACCCTACGCTTTTCAAGGTGCCCCCAGCAATCAGGCAGCAGGACACTGCAGCCCCTTGTTTGTGTGTTCAGAGAGTGGCACCGCTCAGTCACAGCTCTCCAAAAATGGCAATGAGGATAATGAGCGTGGGGCCAAGTGGGGTGGAGGGAAGAGGACGGGGTTTTTTACACCTGAGGCTTTTGAGGCGGAGCTTTTGCGTACTAAACAGAACCCCATGTTCTCATTGTCCAGCTCACCACTACAGGTTACTGAGGAGTTCATTGATGATGATCCCACTGAGATTTCCTTCTATGGCGGGGGTGTTGAGGCCTACTCTTATGGGATGGAGGATAAAGTAGATAACTTTGATTTAATGGAGGAACCTGAGCTTAGCAAAAACCGGCTTTTTAGTGTGGGAATTGAAGATCTGAATGGGAACCCCAATCCCTTCCCTGACAGTATTGTAGGTCGCTCTGAGACTAGTTCTTTGGTTAACAACCGCTCAGAGTGCAGCTCCTTGGATAACCTGGGGCTCAGTTCTGCAGGGGAGTCCATGTCAGTGGGCTACGGAGGAGCTGACACCTCCTCGCTTCGCCTGCCTGGGTCTGACATCCAGTCGGAGGCCAGCTCCATGGTCAACTTCCCAGCGTACTCTGTGCGCTCGGAGAGCAGCTCCGCGGTGCAGTTCAGTGACCTGGTGGAGCAGCTGGAGCAGCTCAGCTACCCGCCCACTGCCACAGAGGGTTCAGGGAACGGTAGCTCAGATTCAGACTCCGACTGGGGCTCTGACAGCGTCCTTCCCCCTGAGCAGAACCTATTTTATAGCAATCCTTTGACGGGGAACAGTGGAATCGAGGGGTTCCTCCTGCAGTGTCACAATCTGCAGGCTCTGACACTAGCAGACCCCTCTGGATCCCCACATGTTAAAATGTAAAGCACTTGAAGACAGTCTAGGGCTGTCCAAATTTAGAGATAACATTATATTACCTGAATTATGCTTCAGCGGGAAATCTGTGTGGTAACCGGAAACCCCTCTTAACCCTACACCATAACCTTCCACATCAGCCTCTGCGGGCTGCATTTGTCAAGAGGTGCACGTCTGGTTATGTGAAAGGCTAAGAGGAGTTTTTGGCTACATGGCAGATTTCCTACTGAAGCATAATTCAGCACATTTCACCATTTAACCAGCACTTAAAAGATGTTTGTAGTTGTTGAAAAAGATGGGTTCTTCTTCATCATCATCGCCATCACCTGAAGTTTGAGGCTTCTCAGTGAAGACAGCACATCATTTCACTTTAACCTTCCCCATATACAGCTTTAGTTGCAGGCAGTGCTATAATCTTAGTTTTTATTTCCTGCCTTGTCTGGTTGAGGAGGTTCTTTTTATTTTTAACATCATTCCTATCTTCTCTTGGAATTTGGCTCTTATTTTTATGAGAGCCTCGAATGCCATATCTCTTTTACAGTTGTCTTCTCTGTAACATTTAGCCTTTTAAGAGAAAATATTGAAATGCTTTTTGGGAAAAAAGCATTTATTTTGGAAGCTTTATCTTTTTAAGACACAACATGACTCCTGTTAAAACGCTAATGTACACATTAGCATAGGACAAGTTATCCAAGTTACCTTCCACTTGAATAGTGAGTGTTTAATGGAAAAGTTATTCTTCTGTGTGTAAAGTTGATCACTTGAGATGATGGTTTCAGATAATTTAAGCTTGTAAGTAATGCAGAATCTTTAATAATTTTCTACTTAAAAAAAAAAAAAAAAAAAAAATTCTGTCCTGACCTACAGGTTGGAATAAAAATGAGCTAAATGTACTTAAAGTACTTAAAAAAGTAGTTAAGAAGTTAAATGCTTGTTGTTTTTAAAAAATAATATCTGGCACTTACTGGGCAGTGTAGAGTTTTCTGGTAGATGGTAATCTGTGTATAATCTCAGGGTTGAAAAATGAAACCAATATTAGTCCCTGTTCAAATGAATATTAAAGCCCCCCCTTTTTAAAAATAAAAATAAAAGAAAACACAGGGCATGCCATTAAATCGTTTTTTTCTTCTTCCTTTTTTTTGCCTGCCCCCTCTTGTACCTCGCTGCCACCTGCTGGCGAAAGTCAGCATTGTTCACGTCCCAAAATCCCCAGCTGTGGTAGTTTTCTTTTGTTTTGATAGGTTTAGAATGTCTATATAATTATATTTTTACAAAGCCAACACCAGCTAACATTTTAACTCAGCTCAACATGAAAAAAAAGAATGTAAACGGTGTACTAATGAGCCATTAAGTGCACCGTTAGCACCACTTTCTACAGAATGAATGTATCACCTGTTTGTATGTAAGGCTTTAGTGTTTTAAACTTCTTGATTAACAAATGAAAGCAGAGCAATGAAGCACCTTTTCAAACATTTGATCAGACCTAAAAACTTACAGGAAATCCTTTATGATAACTTTTTTTTAGGAAACAGGTTTTTTTTGCACATTTCTAAGTAATTTTATAGGAAAAATCCAGGCATGTCGGGTTATTAACACATCAGTGTGGACAGAATATTTCTCTGTAATGTTTGCTCGACTGAGATATATCTGGTGTAAGGATTTGTAAGGGCTGATTCTACATTTAACCCAACTAAGATGACGATGATACAAGCTTTGATTTTCATCTCTTTAATGTGCCCGAACTCAATTCTATTTGATTTTTCTGTACATTTTACAGAATCTCCTTTTTGTGTGCAGCACGTGCACCTCAATGCAGTTTTTTCTCTTTATTTTTTTGTAATCAGTAGACACCACATGGATAAATCTCATCTGTCCTCATTGTCATTTTGAAGGATGGGCAAAACACACCCAAAGTGTTTCTGCAGACTCTCTGCAGTCACGGGTGTGGACGGGTGTTTCTGTGTCACCATGGAGAAATCGTATTTTGCTTCAGAGTTTTCTGATCTGAAGGATTTGTCTTGATGGCTCTTTATTTTTATTTTTTTTTCTACCATGTGATTCTTCCCACTTAAAGTTTTCATTAACGACTAGCTGACAATTATAACCAGCTAACCTGCACTTAGACACCAAGTAATCACACCTTAATCCTGAACATGTATATTTTTACTAATCATAAACAGCCTGTACTTAATGTTTTGTATGTTTTTACTTTAAAGAATAAAGTAATCACTTTTGGGTACCATGAATGTCAGACTTAAAATTCTTTAAAGTTGCAGATTAAACTCAAAGGAGTAGTAATGGTGGAACACAAACCCTTTTGGATATTAGCTTAATGGTCAAGAACGTGGAGGATGAAGTTTATGTATGTTGCATATAATATATCTGCTGCTGTATCCCGAATGTGTTTTAGTTGCAGGAACAACTACAAATCAGTTTTGTTTTTTTTTTTTGTTTTTTTTAATTGCTCACAAATCTGTCATTCAGCCAAACTGTTTGCATTGACTCATTAATATCCTACACTGACACCACTCCCTGGTGTGTTCCGAGTGTATCGCATGACACTCCAGGGATCCTGCTAACGTTATTAGTGGAAGAATTCGATATACAGCAGTTTTCCGTCATATTTGAGGCAAAAGACGCACATGCTGTTGGGGGTTGGGTCGGACTTGTACACAAGATTCCTCAACCTAATTCCAGCTGAGTGCGAGTGTGTGTTCGCGCTCTCTGTTTGGACGGGCCTTGTGCCAAGTCATTCCACAGCAAACCCCCATCCTCCCGCTGTGGAGCCCGACGTCCGCTCCCTCTCCTCCCCTCGTGTCAGTCCCTGTGGTGGGGGCACTTCAAATAAACTATAAACAACTGTTTGCCCTCCAGACAGGCCGCATTCCTGATAACTCTTTGCATGAGCAATTATTTCCGGGTCGAGTAGTGAGTCGTGGAGCTGTCTTTCTTTTTCTTTTTTCTTTTTTTTTTTTTTTTTCTCTCCTCCCAGCCTTCCTTCCCCCCCCTCCCTCTCTGATAGAAGTGGAAGAACAGCTGTGGTGACCCATGACTCGGTTAAGATAATGGCCTGGCGTTTCATCTACTTGTTTTGTCTCCTGATTTTCTGTGCAGAACAAAAGCAGCAGAGCCGGTTCTCTGCCGTGAATCGAGCCTGTGTAGGTTACTATTTGTCGTTTGTCTTCCTCGTAGAGGGTGTTTGTGAGGGCAGGAGGGGGAAAATGTGGGAACTATTACTTGCCTTTGTTGCCTTCCCTTTATTTGTGGCTTGTGTGTGATGAACTTGGATTTGTTAGAATCTGTGGCTTTGTTTTTTGTTTTTCTTTAATAGGAAATGAGATAATTTAGGGGTGAAAAAATGATTTGGATGAAGATCAATTTTAATAGTTACATACAGTTTCTGAAGGAGGTCAACTACACGCAGATGTCTTGGTTGTCTTAAGCTCCGCCCTGAAAAGCTCATGTTTAATCTGTGTAATTAGTTTTTTAACCCGTCTTTGTTTTTATCCTTTTTCTGAAATCTGACATAATATAAGGTGATAGAAAATGCTTGTCTTTATAATTTTAATTTTCCCTCTTCCACAGATTCAGTGGTGGACAGCCCTCAGCTCTCCCCCGTCGCCTCCAAAGGTCCCCTCTGCCTGTCGCCCTCCTTCCAGATGTCGAACCTCAGCCTGCCGGGCCAGACCCCGTCGCCCCTGCAAAGCCCCATCCTGAGCGAGGTGGGCAGCAATGCCAGGCTAGAGGAGGAGGAGGAAGGCAGGAGGAAGGTACACCTCTTACATGCCAATCCTTCCAACAACCTGCCTCACAACCCTAAAGCACAGAGTACACACTCACTCAGTCAGTCAGTCCCTCTAATTAACAATGGGATGGAGTTTTGTTTGGGGTTTTTTTGGGGGGTGGTGGTGGGGGGGGTTGTGTTGTTTTTTTTTCAGTGGAGGGAAAGTTAGTTTTGCTTAAAAGTTTTGAGTTTATTTTTGACAGCAGGAGTGTTAACTGATGTCTCTCACCGCAGCGATATCCCACCGATAAGGCCTATTTCATTGCCAAAGAGATTCTGACCACAGAGCGAACATACCTGAAGGACCTCGAGGTCATCACTGTGGTAAGTTTTTCTTTTGAAACTTTAAGGACATTTGGACAAAACCAATAAAAAATATATAAACAAATAAAAGCTGTAGGAGCAAAAATGGGTAATCAATCTGAAATTGTGTAGTTCTGCTGGGTCATGCATGTATGAACTTCTATTAACGTAATATTATTTTGCATAATACATGCACACGCAGTGTTTCCATGTGTAAATTGAGTTTAACTCAGTAGTGTGTTGCATATTGATGATGCTAATTGTTTTGGATGTTTTTCTTGGTGCTTTTATATTACTGGGTAATTCAGGCTTCAGTCCTTAAGATGCGAAACTGGCATCAAACCCTGTAATTTATATTTTCTGAAGTCCAATAAAGAAATAAAAGGCCTTTTATTTTAAATGCCATACGATTGTTTGTAGAATAGTTTTGGCTATCTTACGAACACACTCACTTTCCCATTTCTCCTTAATGTATAGTGAGTCAGCGTGAGGTGCTTTCATAGGTTGAAAGTCAAATTTGGAATAATAATATCCTCATGCTTTTAATTCTGTACCAATATATGACGATCGGGCGATAAGTGAGGGAGAGAGACGGACACTGGCATCAGAATGAAATCTCAGAAAGCCAGATGTGTTGTAACACTGCTCCCCTTAAAGGCATTTATGCTTGTAGTCAACATGTACTTTTTCTTGCATAGTGTGAATTAGCATGGCCTTTGTTCAGGGCTCTGGTGGCGTGTGCAGTGCTTTGGATTGATGGTTAATGAAGCTGTGATGAAACTTTGCACATGCAAACTTTGCAAAAAATTCAAGTTTAGTAAAATTTGCAATCAGGTTTCACTGGGGATTCAACACATGCAGTGTATATTTTCATTGTTACTGAGACAAAGTTTATCCTTCTTCAGAATTGCTGCCTAAATAACTGCCTAGAGATGAGATTTGCTTTTAGGAAGGACGCTGTGAAGAAGAGTTGGGACACTTTTCTTCAGTATCAGCAAGCGTTAAACCAGACTTGTTGTTTTCATTCACACCCATGTACTAACGGGACTTTTGCGTTTGGCTGCTCCCAGTGGTTCCGTAGTGCTGTGATCAAAGAAAACGCCATGCCCGAAGGCCTGATGACCCTCCTGTTCTCCAACATCGACCCCATCTACGAGTTCCACCGAGGTTTCCTGAAGGAATTGGACCAGAGACTGGCTCTCTGGTAGGTGCTTCTGGTTGTGGGTGTTCAGTGTACCTTGGAAGTTGGATTTCGTAATTGGGGAGTGACGTCATTGCAATTTAAAAAGTTCTGTGTTTGAGAGTGAGAGAAACACCATCTCATCAGGCAGGAGCTTCACTGAGAAGATAAACTCCGTACATGTGTTTTGTTTTTCCTAAGGGAGGGGCGTTCAAATGCTCATGTCAAAGGAGACTACCAGAGGATTGGCGACGTGATGCTGAAGAACATGTGTGCCCTTAAGGTAGGACACCTTCAGTTATTTTATCTTGTTTATTTATTCTTTCACAATTGGCTGACAACCAGAGTGACCCGAGTCTCGTTTGGTCTCCAGGAATTCACCAGTTATCTACAGAAACACGATGAAGTGTTAACAGAGCTGGAGAAGGCCTCCAAGAGGCTGAAGAAGCTGGAGACTGTCTACAAAGAGTTTGAATTGCAGAAGGTCTGCTACCTGCCCCTCAACACATTCCTGCTCAAGCCCATCCAGCGACTCATGCACTACAAGCTAATCCTGGAGAGACTGTGCAAGCATTATTCCCCTGCCCACCGCGATTATGACGACTGCAAGGGTGAGTTTTCTAAAGCTTCTTTTACGTCATGACGGTGATGATAATACCCCACCATCTCACAGCATCAGTCCATTGTAACATTCGAATGCATCAACTAGTAGTAAGCAAGGGAACTGCAAATGGTAGCATCCAGCAAGAGCACATTGTCCCTCTGGTGAAGACCGCTTACTTTCACCCAATCAAGTATTCACAAGTTTATTCACTGCATGTGCATTATATAATATGTAGTACATTTGTATAATATGCATTATGGAAATGTACAGTTTATAAGGTGGGGAAAGCTGCAGTCAGCTGACACTAAAGAAGATGCTTGGATGAGTGACAAACGTTTCTCCCACTGAAAACGCGACGACTAACGCTATTAATCTGGAAATGCTTCAGTGTATTTACTATCTTAGATTGAGTGTTATCACAAGCAGGTTTGTAGTGAAATAGTCTAGTTTTATTCATAATTCTTTGAGACAAGATTAATAAATCATATATTAATGTGTAAGAGAAATATTAAAACTTTCAAAGGAAACGGTATTCATGTGGAAAATCATTTCCACTTTACTTGGTCGTCACTGTAGCAGGAATGTGATAAGTCTGTCATGTATCATCTTCTGGTTATTCATTTGTCTACCCATACAGAGGCTCTGAAGGAAGTGGCGGAGATAGCCACTCAGCTTCAAAGCAGTCTTATCCGGCTGGAGAATTTCCAGAAGCTCACAGAGCTGCAGAGAGACCTGATCGGCATCGAGAACTTGACTGCACCAGGCAGGGTGGGTGCAGTGGCACAGAGCGAAGTGCAGGAAATAAGTGCATACAATCTAACAAGGTTTTTTTTTTTATTTTTATTTTATTTTTTTTTATAGGAGTTCATTCGAGAGGGGTGCTTGTACAAGCTCACCAAAAAGGGGCTACAGCAGAGGATGTTTTTCCTGGTTAGTAAAAACAAAATCTACTTCCACTTAACGTCTAAAGCTTCTAATCATTGTTAGCAGTTTTTAATCTTTGTCTTCATGTCTTTTCAGTTCTCTGACATGCTCCTTTACACAAGCAAAGGTGTTACAGCAACCAATCAGTTCAAAGTCCATGGACAGCTGCCCCTTCATGGCATGATAGTGAGTCTACAGTCTCTTCTCTTAACCTCTGCCATCCCCCTTTTAACCATTAAAGCTCCCAATAAGACTCTGTAGTTAGGTTTACACAAAAGCTAACATCTCATAATCAGGTATTCCAATTCTTCTGACACACAAAGTGATGAGAAGGGAGGGTGAGGGTCTCCTAACTTTACATGTCTCTGCTTTGCTCCTGGCTGCAGCTTATAGTGTTGGATGCGCCGGTAAGTCCTCTGAGCTTTGCCAGCTTGGATGCCCAAACCTGACCCTTCTTTCCTCCCATGCCTGTGTAGACAAAGCAAAAAGCTCATCTTAAGACAGTAGATTGCATATAAAAAGAAATGGAAATAGCCTCAGCTTTTGAAACATGAAGCCAACGTATAAAAGCCTAAACTTGCATTCTTTCTTATGGCCAGCGGGGGGCAGTGATTCTGATTCCAAAAAGAAGTAACGCTGCATAGAAATCTGAGAAAATGAGCCTGCTTCTCACTTATGACAGCATTACACACTCCCGTGTACCTAATACACATGTTTACTAAATTATCAGCTATTTTACTTTAAATGAGACTTGAAGAAGAATTCAGTGTGACTACTTTGTGATGATGATGATAATAATAATGGATTGGATTTATATAGCGCTTTTCAAGGACAAGTTTCATGGACAAGTTTCTGCTGGTTTCTCAGTCAGATCCACCCCTCCATCATCTGTACAGGTTCAAAACACTGAGGTGGTGACTGCCAAAATGATCACAAATCAATGGGTGATGTCTTAATGGCTACATCCATTTTTTTTAAAATTAAATATACAGTGTTTACTCAAGACACGCAGACATGTCGGCCTCTGCCTTTCATAACTTCTCATAATTCTATATAAATCAGCAGGGCATGGTGATGTGTGTTTTGACTTGCACGTGGATATCATTAGGATATAAAAGATAAGATGACCCCACCACAGTTTACCTCCAGACACATAGATGCTTCAGTAGAGGCTCTTTGCCAAGTCTCGCTGTGACTCCAGACGTTTTACATTTGTTCTCCCTTTCTGCTCCTGATCTGAAACCATTCATGATGAAGAAGGTTATTTGGATTACACCCGTTTCCTCTATCTAGCTTGCATTTTTGTTTTCTTTTAATCGTTTCCTTTTTCTGCTTGTAGGTAGAGGAAAGTGAAAATGAATGGTCGGTGCCTCACTGCTTCACTATTTACTCTGCTCAGAGGACCATTGTGGTGGCTGCCAGGTAAGACTAGGAAGGGGAGAAGTTGGAGTAGTGGCATGTGACTGTGCA